CCGTCCTCTTTTTTGATTGTTGAAATATGGTAACCCTACTCTTGGTGACCCTGCCGGGGCTGGCCCATGTTAGCTGACTTGAGCTTGTGCGGCTCAGGCTGTGGGGCTATAAAATTACGGTGTAGACATCTGGGCTCGAGTCAGCTGGCACGGGTCGGCCGTGGGTGTTTTATTGCAGCGTAGACATCCCCAGAGTGTCACAGCTAAATGCCTGGCAGAACAGATTGTTTAGCACAAGTAAACACATATTGTAAGCAGGGGTGGCTCTATGTATTTTGCCACCCCAAGCAAGGCAGTCAAGCGGCTTTCGGTGGCGCCCCTGCGGGCGGTCCGCTGGTAACGCGGATTCGGTGGCATGCCTGTGGGAGGTCCGCCAGTCCCGCGCCTTGGGCATACTCGCCGCCGAATTGCCGCCAAAACCGCAGGACCAGCGGACCTCCTGCAGCCATGCCGCCGAAGGCAGCCTGACTACCGCCCTGACGGCGACCGGCAGGCCGCCCCCCACAGCTTGTTGCCCCAGGCACGCGCTTGGTGCGGTGGTGCCTGGAGTCACCCCTGATTGTAAGAGACCGTTCAAGGTGAAGTGGTTGGTTCACACCTCTGCAGTCACAGGACAAAAAAGAGTTACAGCTGCTTGTAATAAACCATAAATCCAGTGTCTTTATTAAGAACATGATTTTTGGTATCGAGCCAGGCTTTGAATTTAAGCTCCCAGGCTCGTCTTTTGAAGGTGTCGTGCAGGTTTCCTTTGAGGACGAGGACAGAGAGGGCAGACACAGAGCGCTCGCTCAGTGAAAAGCGTTCGCTGACAGGTGATGTGGTGTTTTTGTCTTTTATCACTTTCCTGTGTGAGTGCATTCGAGAGCGTAGTGATTTTGTGGTTTCACCCATTCTTTTTAACGGGGCGTGTAGTGCACTGGAGGAGACACAGCACATGTTGTGATAGGCCTGGGCAGGACTCCTGGATCTTGACAAGTGAGCTGTGCGTCTGTTGTTATGACAAGGTCTCTAGGGGTTGGTCCATAAAAAAGTCACCTCCTGCTACCAGGGGAGGGCTGTGATGGAGCTGCAAAGCTGGGGACTACAACTCCCATGAGCCTCCTCACCTCTGTATGTCCCCTTCCTCCTGGCCAAGCAGGGACTATATGTCATCCCTCATAATGCACTGCTCCTACCCCTGCCCACGTAAGGGGAAAGGGTCTGAGCCAGGAAGTGGCCAGGTTCTGTTTGAACAGCGGGAGCCACGTGGGAGCAGGAGAGAGAAGCCCCAGGAACTGCGGCTGAGCCACATGTGGAACAAGTTGTGATGGTCGGATGGGTGGAGGTTTGTGTGGGGCTTACGGGGGAGCCGCGGGCTGGGCAGGGAACTGGTGCAAAGGGGTCTCAGTGAGAGACACTACCTGAGTCTGGCTTGGGAACCCGCAAATGGTTGTTTGCTGGAGTAGAGACTGGAGCGGACCGGGCACCCCAAGCACTGGGGATGAAGACCCTGCCTCTCAACTGGACGGCCCCAGGGACCCAACCAGGGTCTGCTATTGCTCCCTTTGAACTGTAACCACAGGTACTGATGTAACCCACACACCTCCTGGGTGTGATGTTCTGTCCCAGCGAGCGGCACCGAGACCACTTAGAGAGAGAGAAAGAGATCAAATGAGTCTGCTTGACAGCCTTAGCTGAGAGCCCCCCTGGCTTTTAGATCATGTGGTTGAGGCTCATGCACTAAGCTTCAGAGGTCCCTGGTTCGATCCTGCCCGCCGACAACCGGGGTCTGTCAGCGTTACACTGACTCTCATTTTTCCGGGTGGATGTGCCACCCCAGGCTCTGCCCTGAGGCCCCACCCCCACTCCACCTCTTGCTGCCCCTCCTCTACAACTTCCCCTGAGGCCCCGCCCCCATTCTACCTCTTCCCACTCCACTCCTCCCCTTCCCCTAAGGCCCTGTCCACACTCTACCTCTTCCCACCCCCGCTATGCTCCCTCCCCCGAGCTCCTCACACAGCTGTGTCTGCTTTTCCCTGGAGCACTCACGGGGTCAGCGCCTATGACTGTCACTGTTTAAACCTCTGCACTGAGGTGATCTGCAACCTCTCCCCTTCCTGCCAGCCCTAGTCAGAAACCCTTTCCCTGAGCCATGTGCCTGAGTGGTTATTGGCACCCACCCGGGCTACCCCCTACATGGCCAGACAGCTGAAGCACCTACAGTGCTTGCCTCCGAGATGCGATACATCGGGCGCGCTACCGGCACCCTAAGAGTTTGGGGGCCAGAGTCACCCCAGCACTTCCAGACCTACTTTAGCTCAAGTAGCGTGTGCTCCTGGTGCTGAAGGGCTGGGGTTCAGTTCCTCTCGAAGACCCATGTCAGGGTGTTACACTGGCCTATTCAAGGGGAGGCGGCTTCCCCGCACTTCCTCCATCCCATCCAGCAGCAACCCGGCTCTGAGGATTTTGGCAGGTCCCCAGCAGCAGCTGCGCTGGGCCCTTCGTTCGGAGACATCCCCATTTCAGCTCAGGGAATTGGGAGGAGGGCGGGTTAGCCAGGAGGGGAGAACAGGTCAGCCCACAGGAACGGCTGCAGGGACCAGCTCTGGGAGGTTTGTCTGACTCCGCGGTTAACTGCAGCAAAAGAATTCCCCAGTGTTCAGTAACTTCAGAAGCATTAATGATCTCCAAGTCTTCCCACTGCCCCCTGCAGGTGGCTCCGGGTGCAAACTCTGCCCCAGGAACTGGGTGCTGCACAGAGACAAGTGCTACTGGCTTTCGAACGAGGCTGACACCTGGAGCAAGAGCCATGACGACTGTTCAAGGAAGGAATCTCAAATGCTGGTGATCCAGGATCGGGAACAGATGGTAACGTACATTTTATGGTGGGGCACAGAGAGAGCCGTTCATCATGTCTCTGTTCTCTTTGTTACGTGTCTCTATACAGCGGCTCTCAAACTTCATTGCATCGTGACCCCCTTCTAACAACGAAAATTACTACATGCCCCCAGGCGGGGGAGTGGGGATGGAGTTGGAGCCCAAGTCCTCCCACCCTGGGCTAGGGTGACCAGACAGCAAGTGTGAAAAATCGGGACAGGGGGTGGGGGGGTAAAGGGAGCCTATAGAAGAAAAAGACCCCAAAATCAGGACTGTCCCTATAAAATCGGGACATCTGGTCACCCTACCCTGGGCAGATACGAGGGCCAGACCCTGAGCACCGCTGCTCCAGGCTGAAGCCCTCGGGCCACAGCAAGTCATTAAAATGGGGTTGCAACCCACTTTGGGGTCCCGCCTGACCCACAGTTCGAGAACCACTGCATGACCTAGCACAATGGGGCCCAGG